CCCAGCACAGTCTGAATGTGGGCATCACCACATGGTCCCCAATGCCTTGGCTAGCTTATCTTCCTTCTAAGAAAGCAATTGTTACAGTTATCAACTGGGTGATTGTAAATCTCACAACTTTCACATAGCAGCGGCAGCAGAGACTGCAAACCCACACTGCAATGCTGATGACAGAGCTTCATCCAGACCCGCATGGAGCAGCAGCTCTCTTCTGGCTTCCAGGAGCCTCTGCATTAGCGGCATCACTGCCTCTGGGGCCAGGACAAACCTGGTTCCATTTGTCTCAGACGTATTCTCAGGCAATGCAGAAAAGACCCGAGACTTGTGGATATGGACCCTTAACTCTTCAAACCCTCATGTATGATGTTTCAAAACAAAGCTGACCTAATCACTCAGCATTCTCCTGAAAGTCACTAGCCCACCGCTCAGAGGCCCACCGTGGTGGAGCACCCTTTAATGAATTTGACCAGAGAAAAGACTGCTTGAGCCCTAACTGCTTTGGGCAGATTGCATCTGAACCCTAGATCTGTGCCGCTGTGACTTACTTCCTGCTAGGTTGGGATCCAAAGAGTAACTGCACAGCAATTCAAGGAGAGGTCTATCAGGTCCCTAGTGGAGTTCTTCACAGTCCCTAGACAGTTCTCTTGGTCTGGGTTGGGCTTTCGAGCTTGGATTCAAAGCACCTTTCTGGGACTATGAACAGCTTCCTCATCTGTCGCAGCGGCCATGTGCTTTCTATGAATACCCTATATATATATTCTGTGCAACCATGCACCCGGTACATGATAGTCATGACACAGAAACAAGAAGGTCAAGGTGATCTTGCAACACCACGGCAGCCGAGCCCTGCATAACGAATATCTGCTCTCCTGCCTTTCCTCATTGGCTAGCCTTTGCAAGGGCACACAAGGAGGATTCAGCATGCAGACTCATAGGCGCCCTGAGCATGGCCCATACCTCTGGAGTAGTCTCTGTGGCTTCAACCCAGGGTGGTCAAAGCTTGGGTATCCATAGTTTCCCTAAGGCTTGTTCCCAATCCTAAGTCAAGGACCACCAGGGAAAGCAAAGTCTTGCTCTTCCGACTCTTGTAGGAAACTGGCTGCCAGGGAGTCAGTCACCCCCAGGTCTCATACCCACGGCTACCCTGAGGGCACCCCTAAAACTTTCCTCTGACCATTACGTGATGTTATTCTCCCTCAGTAATAAAAGACCTAAGCGGATCCCTTGCTATATAGAGAGTTCCACATATACGGCCTTCCCACTCTCATTTAGAGGGCTCTTTGCTTATTCCCATAAAGCTAACCTCATGATTGGACAACTCAACCACCCTTGTTGATGTCAGAAAAAAAAAACACGCCAGCTTGGTCATCACCATGTCTGAATAAACATTAAATGGAAACAGTAAAAACATGAGGAACAGCTCACCAAGAGCACACAGAAGTGCACACATGGATGTGTCCCAACATAAAAATGTACTTCTGTCTCCAGCTAAGACACTCTCGGGGGTGGGGGACCAGGGGGTGCTGCAGCAAATGTAGCTGAGACCAGAGCTGGGTTCAGAGCTGGGCCCTGAAGGTGTGAGGACAGCCTGAGAGACACACCGGCCACTATGCTGGGAGGCGGGAGGCCTGTGTTCTGAGGTTACCTATGATGCCTGAGACACTTAAAGGAGGTGGGCTTCTCACTGTGTACACGGGAAAACTTTAGGAAGCAGGAAGGGCACTAGCCCTCACGAGCTGGACAGAGGCAGAGCAAACACCTGAGGTATTGAAGGTGACAAGAACTCTAAGGCAACCTTGTCACAAAGCAAGCCAGTGCCTCAACCAGGTGAGACAAAGAGACGAACAGACTCGAGAGGTAATTGGGACTGGGCCTCATGCACGCGCCAATTGTGCCTTACCTCCTCAAATTTGTATGCGATCATAGCAAAGGCCTTGAAGATGGCGTCGGTCGGGCCTGTGATGGTGACGATTCTCTCTGGGCAGTTTCCCTCTGAGATGTTGATCCTGGCGCCACTCTAAGGTGAGAGGAGAGGGAAGGTAGCTGACAGAAGATGAACGCTGTCCCGTGCGGGCCTGGCTTCTCCAGGCCTGCAGACAACTTTAGGCACAGACACTGGGGCTGAGACATGCTTTTAAAGAATCTCATTCTCAACAGTGAAATCCTTGCCAGGAATCCCCATCAAATTGGAAATTCTAAGGTTTTGTTCTTGTCTTTTACGACAGGGTCTCATGTAACCAAGCTGGCATTAAACTCCCTGTGTAGTGGAGAACAGGCCTGAACTTCTGTTCTTCAGCCTCTGTCTCTGTCTCCTTGGTGCTGGAGTTACAGGCATATGCCACCATACCCTTCCAGAGTAGGTTCCTGTTATTTCAACACAAGATTTTCTCTGTGAAGCCCTGGCTGTCCCAGAACTCACTCTGTAGAACAAGATGGCCTCAAACTCAGAGATCCTCCTGCCTCTGCCTCCTGAATGCTGAGATTCCCCACCACCGCCCGGCTAGAATTTTAATTAGTTGAGTCCCATGGTCCTTAGGAGAGCTTACGTCCCCAACAAGCTGGATGCTGTGTATGTAGCGTGTCAGAGGGAATTGTCCCTCCTTGCCTCGCATCCCTGACGCAAGGGCAGGTCCATCAGAGCCACAAGCAGTGCCAGCCCCCACACCCCAGGGCCTGGCCAACCTGACCTGGATCTGGGGTAACGTCTGAGGCAGAGCCAACTCACCTCTTCACGCATCTTCTTTACTGTTTCTCCTTTCTGGAATGGAGACATAAGGAAGTCTGTCACTGCCAGGTGCACAGAGGGGCCCTGCGCCTGACACAGCCCAGCCTTGGCTGCTGCGAGCTGCTAGTGGGGTGCTGCCTACCTCTGGTCTGCTCCCTGTCCTTGCTTGCCCCTGTGAGTTAGCTGGTCTCTTTACTCACTGGGCCCCATACTCCAAGGGGATCCCAGATGAATAAACAGAGGCATGGGAAGGGAGGTACAGCCACCCAGAGGTGGAGCTGGCCATGTGGGTGGGCTTTGATCAGACTCTGTTATGCTGCTGTTATGACAGGGCTACAGATACAGTAGCAGGTATGATGCCTGGCAGGAGCTAGGGTGTTTGAACCAGGTATGTCTCATGAGTGGTGATCCCCAAGAAGCCCTTTCCAAAGAAACATTAAGGAGTTGGGACATCGAGCAGTTAGCAGCTCCCCTACTGTACAGGTGCAGGGTCACAAGATAACCGAAATAAAGCATCCAGGAGGGCAGCCTCTCCTCTTTCACACAGTGGGCTTTAGATCCCCCTGCACTCCCCCCACCCTTGGAAGCATCTTTTGCTTTCATTGTAGAAAGAGGAGTACAAGGACAGTAAGGCTTCCCAGGTCTGCAACTCAGAGGTACCAGGCACCGAGGTGGTAAGAGGCAGCTTCAAAGTGACCAGCTGGGGCCCTGCCAGAACCGAGAAAGAATGTGTGTGGTTCACCCAGAGCCAAAAATAAGACTCACAGTACAGTAGGTTAAGTAAGGAAGGGGCACGAACAGGGCTCCAGGGCAGCGCTTCCTGGGACTCTGACTTCCTCTAGGATAGTGTCTGTCAGGGCCTGTGTAACTGCTGGGGCCAGTCAGTACCAGAGGCTACTGCTGTCTTTGTCTGTCAACTTATAGAGAACCAAGAAAGGCACCGTTCACTCAATAATTACCTTCCCAATGATGCTTCCAACTTCCTGTAGGGGAAAAAAAAATCACAGAAAGATGACGTCACAAGGCACTCAAGAAACGATGTATCTGGCATGAGGGAGAATTAAAGCTTTTACAGTATTGGGGGTGGAACTGGGGCTTTATGTACACCAGAGCACTGAGTCATAACCTGCCCCATGGGAGAGCTGAAACTCTTGTCCAGAGGACGGGTCTGTGTTGGGCTGTCCAGCTCCTCTATGCCTAGCTGACCAGGGCGATCAGAGATGGAGCTGAGGTCAATTAACCAACTGCCTGGGAACAAGGCACAGTCAGTCAGATGCTTTCTAGATAAACAAGGAGAGAGAGAGCCACCCCTGCATTTAAGGCCTCAAGGAGACCCTGCCACAGATGGACAGTAAATAATGCCCCTGCCTAAGAACACAGCACTGCTACCCTGATTTATGAGGTAGGACACTTGGAGATGTCCCGGCATGGCCACCACCGTTCTGCATTTGGATGTCAATGCCTGTACGGTGAAGCCTGTCCCAGCCCACAGGACAGCCCCAGGAAGCTTCCACCACGGCCTGTTGACTGGGGCAGGGCCATCTGACTTCCTGCCATGGAAAAATAACCTCTTTCAAAGTCTGACCCACTTTTCTCACTATAACCAAGCCTTCAGACTGCCAGAGCTGCTGTTGATCCACGTGGAGGGCGTGGCATGGGGTCAGGAAACATGAGGAGGGCGTGGTCCTGTGTAGTGCTCCCGTCATAGGAACTAGGGGCCGATCTGTACAGAATGCCACATGGGGATGTGCTACGAGAAGGAAGGAAAGGACACTTTCCACCACAGAAAAGGAATGTCTGGGTGCCAGGGGACATGCTTTCTGAGAAGCTGGACATCCCAGAACTTTTGTTCTAGTGGACAGCCCCGGCAGGAGATATTTCACAAATGCTAGGAGCTTGATTTCTCAGGGTAGAAGAAGAGAGAACAGGGCACCAGGTTAAGGGCACCTGTCTTGCGGGGTCAGGAGGGGAAGTGTGACTCCTGCCTACCAGGACAGCACCCTCCTGTAGCAGACAGGCACTGGGGTATTAAGGTTCAGGTGTTAGGCCAACCAGTCTTGAGTAGCTCTGAAAGAAGTGTCATTTGGACTGTACACGCACCAGCTTTGTGGGCTGACATTGTGTAGCATGAGGAGGAGCACGGAGCAGATCCCTGGTACCCCGCCTCCTGCCCAACCTCCTGCCCCGCCTCCTGCCCCGCCTCCTGCCCCACCTCACCCCACCTCGCCCCGCCTCACCTTTCCATGCATCAGTAGGCGGATGGTCAGGGTTACGTTCAGGCCACCTTCCGAGACCTTAGATTCCATCTTCCCTCCAAAATGTAGCTCAGGGTGGTGGCTTAAGGTACTGAGGGTACTGTGAGGAAGGATGGATGGGGCCCAGATGGCGTCACCTGGAACAAGAAGGCACAGTTGTGACCACAGGTACTCTTCTTTGGACCTAGAACCATGTTCTAGCCTCCAGGGACTCAGCCTCCAGTGGAGTGGGTGTGCTCGTCACCACCATAAGAGTCGCACAGAGCTGGGTCCTAACCATGTGACCGCAGGTAGATAGGTCACACAAGCCCTTTAGACTCAGTTTCCTCTGCTGTAGTAAATCTCCAACACCAATACGCCTGTGCAAAAAACATACAACTTAGTTTATCATAAAGGATGCCTCTCTCGGAAGCCAGACATCTCAAGGAGCTCTAGGGGAAGCCAGTGCTAGGCTACCCAGCCTGGCGAGCCTCTTTTCTTCTAGTGTTTCTTCTGTCTGCTTCCTGTTACTCTAGGTTAGCATGACCTGCCCCCTTGAGGGCCCGTCTTTGCCACCAGCCATCTAGAAAGCCTCCTACACCCACGTCCCTCTATGCCCAGTTATTGGCAGCCTTTCCAAACGTGACTTCAGTCTCTGGCTGCAGTTCTCCCATTAAAGCTAAGATGTTCTCCCCGCACAGTGCTGTTCTGTGCACAGCCACTAATGGTGGTTAGCGTTACGGGGCGACATTAGGACGTCAGTTGACTATCTGCAGGCAGAGATTACAGCTACAGGTGCGTGCTTCTGGAAAGCGACATGATGACTTTGTGGGTGGCCCGGAATCCTGAAGGAATCAGGGCTTCCCAGTGAGCAGCTCTCCTTACTGAGTTCTCCACAGGCTCTGAGCCAGGACCATACGAGGCAGCAAGCAAGAAAGGATGGCTCACTCCCATCAGGGAAATACCATCACTGATAACCAGGCTAGCACGTAGACTAGGGAGGTCTAGAAGATGGCAGTGGAGGCTGGGGGAGTCCATGGGGGGGGAGTGGCTTCAGTATGGTTTCTAAAAGCAAGAGACACAGCTGTCCATTCTCAGGAGATACTGTGGATCTGGCAAGCATGAGAAGACAGGACAGATGAGAAATGTAAAAGCTCAGTTCTCTGGGTTGTTGGGCTTGGGCAGCTCTCTGGAAGTTGATGTCTTACGTGGCTGCTCACTGCTTTGTAGAAAAAGCACAGGCAGATGGGAAGTTCTGCTGAGCGCGGCATTTGCAGAGGCCCCAAGGACTGCTGGACCCCAGCTTGAGCTCATTGAGAAGGATCTCAGCAGGAAACAAGCATCTGGCTCCAGAGACTCAGGTGACACCAAATAACACACAACGTCTCTGCAGACAGCCCGTGCTAAACCAAGCCAAGTCCTCTTTACAGGAAGCCCTGTTTCTGCTAGGGTTGATTTGCAAGGGGGCCATAAACTGGATCACACTGGGGCTGGTCTGGGGCATCTCCTACCCATCATGGGGACAGGAAGGCCCTGTGGCTGTCTGTTACATAAATGTTTCCAGCCCAGGAAGGAGAAAGTAGGTCAGCGCCTGCCCCCGGTGCTTTCGGCTCCAGGCTGTCAGGAGTGATCAGTCACTTGGGCCAGTGCCTTTCTGCATCAGAGGATAAGACAGACACAGACAAACCCACACAGAGGGGGTGGCACAAACGCTCTCTGTAGACTGGGAGTGAGGAGCTGCCCTGTAGAACAGGTGAGATTATCTGAGTCTCTCAGACTTGGAGATGGAGAAGCATCAGTCTAGAGCTGCTGACGGGAAAACGGGAAGAGAGAAGCCAGAGGTCTACTCTCTCAAAGGATCTGTAGGAGGCAGGAAATGTGGCTACACCCTGAAGCGGCATCTTCTAGTCCAGCCAAACTCTCCTCAAAGAAGGGCTAATCTTTGGGCACCTCCAGCCCTCATCAGGCTCCGATCCCAGGGACAACGAATCCTGGCTCGTGGTAGCAGTGCAGGCCATGGAGAACCGTAGGACCGTGTTGTCTTGCAAAGCCAGAGAAGGGCAGAGCTCTGGCTCAGCAGTATGGACGTCTACTCATTTGCTTCCCACTAGCTAAAAAAAGCTTCAACAAGGTTCAGAGCTTTAGCCTTTAATGTCTAAATGTTTTGGTTTCAACAGAAAATTACCTGTCATGCCAAGACCTACAGAGATTTCAAAGTGGATGAAGGGCAAGGTGTAAACGCCAATCCTAAGCTGACAGAGACATTAATATTAGCCGACATCTGTACGGCAGCCATCTTAAAAATGCTCCTTTAAGACATCGGGATGGGTATGGCCCTCATGCCTCACGGGACAACGACAGGGGGACCGGAGCCATTACAAGGTCCCCTTCAATTACTGGAGGTCAGGCCTCTATCCCTGCCTTTGCAAGATTAGAATCACCACAGCCCTTCTATACTTAGAGAAGGGAGGAGATGTCAGGGGCAGCCCTGCTTACACACTGAAGGCCTAAAATCAGCCATAGGCCTAAAATCAGCAATAGGCCTGTCATACATGTATACTAACACCAAGTCTTGGGTCTCTGTGGAAAAACATTGAAACAGATGGCTATAAGCTATTGTAAACAGGCAGCTTTTGTGAAAATTTACCAGCCTGAGTAGTCATAGACCTTGTAAATAGGTAGCCTTGGCAGATATTACCAACTTAGAATCATAGGCAGAGTTACAGTGACCTGTCCCCTGAACCTTCACCCACCCGATACCCAGTTCTGAAAGATATCTGTATTCCCTCTGAACACCCACACTCCAGTGTCATCCCCTTCCCCACATCCTGCCTTTCTGTGTTTATAACCCCTGTGTGAATGAATTACGATTTGAGAAAAAAATAAATAAATTATTTTTAAAAAATTAATAATAATAATAAAGAATAGTTGATGAAAAAAATGCTCCTTTGAACAACTAGAAATATTCTTTGTGTGATATGTATGCATGCACTGTGCATACAGACTCCAGAAGAGGACATTGGCTGTTCTTTCTATCACTCTCACTCTTATTCCCTTGAGGCAGGGTCTTGGGAACTTGTGTTCTTTAGCTAGTCAGGTGGCCAGCAGGCCATGGAGATCCACCTCTCTCCACCCCTCACAGGGCTAGGTTTACAGGGAGCGTGGGGTCATATACAGCTTCTGCTGGTGCTGACACCTAACCTCAGATCTTCACGTTTGCACTGCAAGTACTCTTACCCGCCGAGTCATCTCTTTAGCCCCGGGATACGTTTTGCCCAACGAGAAGACCTAGCTCAGCAGAGAAACAAAAACTCTTACCAAATTAATAAGATATAAAGAACGGGCATGGCAGACGTAAACCGTCAATGATGGAACAGGGGACTAGACCATTGAACAGCAGAAATGGGCAGGTCATGGGCTACCCGTCAGGGCCTGAAGCCAGGCAGGGCTGAGATGGAGATGCTGGGAAGGAGAAGGCTGACAGATAAGAACTGCAGGGTCCAAGAAACTAGGCTTTTGGGGAGTTAAGGAGAAGACAGAACTCTAGATGAAGGGAAACCAAGAAACCTCTGGAGCTATGCTCCACTCCAGGAGCACAGTGCGGGAGGGGAGGGGGTTTCCTCAAAAGAAGTAGTGGTAGGAGGGGCTAACCAACATGGCAGGTAAAATATGTCAACTGGGAAGAAGGAAACGGCCAGGATCAATATACACACACACATTCCCTATGTACTCACCACAGGGAATGCCACACTAGTTTATAAAATTAATATGTGCGGATAATCATCATTTTTAAAAGAGCACTTTTAAGTGAGGGTAAATACCATAGGCTTCTGTTCTCTTGCTTCTAAAATTATTTCTAATGGCTAAAGTAACAATGACTGAACTGTCTGATATGAATCATATCTCTTGGGGCAGGGTAAAGGCAGGCAAATTTTCTACCTTCCCTTCAAACTGATAAAATGATGTCCTAAATTATTAACAAATCAAAATGGAATTTTTAAAAAAGCTTAATGCCCAGGAAGTCAGGAGAAAATCCTAAAAGTCACATAAATGAGAAAATAATCAGACAACTAAAAATGAAATGACAGGCTTGAGCCCTAACAGTTCAATAATAAAATGCAAATGGTATAATTTTAAAAGTGACAGTAGACTAAACAGTCTACCCCTACACTGGCAACAGGAGACTGAGCACAGGACAGTGATGGCTGTCTCGATGAGTAGGTGTTGGGAAAACTGAGTATCCATCTGCTGAGAAGTAAAATTGGATTTTTATCTTATACCTTTGTGTGTGTGTATACATATATACATATACACATATATACATATATCAATACACATATACACACGCATATACATATATATGTTATATATGTATATTATATACGTATGCTATATACACACATGTTATATGTATGTTACATATACACTTATGTGTATATATGTTATATATAACATATAACATGTTATGTATACATGCATACATATATGCATACATATATACATATATACATGCATATATATATAATATATGCTGTTATACACGTATAAGTGTTATGTGTTATGTACACATATGTTATATATATATACACATGTGTATATTACATATAACGTGTTTTATACACACACACACACACGCATGCACACAAAACAATGGGTGAAAGATCTGAAACTAGAAAACCACTAGGAAAAACTCTGTAGCAATGGTTTTGGCACTGACTTATTTTAAAAAAAATAATTCCCCAAAGCATAGGAAACAAAAGCAAAACCAGATAACAGGATTCAATCAAAGTGAAACAAGGGAAGCAATTAGCAAACGGAAGAGAATAACTGTAGACCAAACCTCTGATGCAGGCTGATAGCTAAAATAGACGGGAAATCTTATAACAAAATAGGACGGCAGGAACTTCAGTAGACATTTCCCAACAGAAGGAAAATGAGAGTCAGAGACCTGTAAACCTCAGTGAGATACTACCTCGAGCTGCGTCCTGGGTGCTGTCATCAAGAGACTAAGAGCTGTTAACAAGGAAGAAAGGGTACCCTGTGCCCAATTGGTGGCACTGTGATACGGAAATTCTTGGAAATTCCACTCTTGGACACAGCTCTAAAGGGGATGAAATTAATATGTCAGAAACATCTGCACCTCCATATGCACTGCAGG